TGCGCATGCGCCGGTGAGTCTCGTGAAAACCAACGTTTGTTAACAGGAGCAAAGGAAGCAAAGTTTCCTTGTTTTGTACTTCTAATTAGTGACCGTTGTTTTGTTTTGATCTCTCCGCTGCGCTTCTGCATTCGTCACTTCTGAGCCGCGCATGCGCAACTCCTACGTTATCCTCCCGGAACTGCTTCCGTTTACAACAGTGAGCGCAAGCTGGATTAAAGTGATTATTACGTTTTAAATATGGTTATTTTTCTTACAAAAACGCATCGATTCGCTACAGAAAGCCTTTGTTCACCCCCCAGAGCAGTGTGAGACACTTTTTATTAAGGATGGGCACTTTTTATTTAACTTCTTTTGGACTGAAGCATGCAACACCCACTGACTGCCATTAAACGGCTTGGAAGATCAAAGACAATTTTTAATATAACTCCGACTGGATTCATCTGAAAGATGAAAGTCATATACACCTAGGATGCCTTGAGGGTGAGTAATTTATGGACTAATTTTCATTTTTGGGTGAACTAACCCTTTAAATTAGTGTAGAAACAAGTGATTTATTAAAATATTTGTGTTTTCTTTTAAATGCAGCTCAACCGTGTATTCATTATTTGCCTCTATCTTTCTATCTTGTGTCTGCAGAGACTCGGAGCGCAACAAGGAATCTGCTTTTCTTGAAGCTCAGATTTATGAATATGTGGAGATCCTGGGGGTAAGCAGTCTGCCTACTGTAGTTTTATGTTTAGTCTCCTCTCATTTCACATTTATACTATCATTTTGCAATATATATGCACTGATCAGCCACAACATTAAAACCACTGACAGGTGAAGTGAATAACATTGACTTTATCGTTACAGGGACACTTTTAGTAAATGACCTTCAGAATAATGTACTTTAGTGTTTCTCTACTAATTGTCTATTTTATGAGAGGTTGTGGTTTGGCGTCGTTGGTGTGAATTGTCTGCAGTGATGTTGCTGAAGCTGATGTGTTTTGTTGTGTGTGTGCTGCAGGAGCAAAGGCAGCTGACCCATGAGAACGTCCAGAGGAAGCAGGCGCGCACAGGAGAGGAGCGTGACGAGGAAGATGAAGAGCAGCCCAGCGAGAGCGAGAGTGAAGACGAAGATAATGAGATCATATACAACCCCAAAAACCTGCCGCTCGGCTGGGACGGAAAGGTACGCTTACTTTTTATTACGGTGGTCCGGTTTGGTGAAAGGAAATCGGTTTATTAGAGATTAAAACGGAAAGCTGTTTTTTAAATTCAAATTAGACATTGATGGTCTGATTGATGGGTAATTTGATGCCAGTCCCTCCAAAACATAATGAACAGTAGTGATCAGTAGTAAATAACATCTTAACATCTTAAAAAATAGCATTTTAACTCTTTTCTATATCACACAGCTCTAGAGGTAAAAGGCTGATAGTGTGTCATTAACCTTGTCTTTAGCCGATTCCATACTGGCTGTACAAGCTGCACGGCCTGAACATCAATTACAACTGTGAGATCTGTGGCAACTACACGTACAGAGGACCCAAAGCCTTCCAGAGACACTTTGCAGTAAGTTTGCAAGAAAAATTCTCATATTCCAGTATTTGTAGTTATGGAGCAGGATCTCAATTGTTTCTATTTTAGCTAGTCATTTTAAAGTCTTTCAGTGCAGTTTCCACATGTTCTGTGGCACCTTTACTAGGGCTGTGACGATGAATCGATGCAGAATAGATTTGTGGATGGATTCTGAGATCTTCCGAATGCACCGTGATTCTCTCTGGAATCGATTCCGAGTTTAGATTCTAACAGCAGATGGCGCTCTACTCTAGGTTTTAATACGCACACTCAACCGCTCGTGAAGAAGAGTGCTGAAGAGCACTTGTGCGTTCAGCTGAGTCTGTAATTTCACCTCTGCTCAGAATGCTTTTATGACGCCAGATTAATGTAAACACAGTCCACTGTGAACACCCTTGTGATTCGCTTCAAACTTTTAGAATTTTATGAATGATTATTTTAGGTTCAAGTGTGTGTAAGGTTTTGGAAACGAGCAGAGTACGGCTGTTTCTAAAGCATCTGCTGTTCAAAACTAAGCTCAGAATCGTCTCGGGAAAGAATCGCGATGCATTCGGAAAATCTCAGAATCGATGCGGGATCATTTCTCGATTCGCGATGCATCGATTTATTTTCCCAGCCCTAACATTTACTGGGACTAATCATGAGAGGACTGATCGTAACATGAAATAAAATATCTGCTAGTATGTTACACCTTAACAAATGTATATGAACATATGTTTGTCACTTTACTCTTAACCCCAGTGCTGTATTGAAAAGCCTATAACACCTTCGGTGTTCCCAGTCCAAAATCAGTTTTCTGTGTTGCAGGAGTGGCGTCACGCTCATGGCATGCGCTGTCTGGGCATTCCTAACACAGCCCACTTTGCCAACGTTACTCAGATTGAGGATGCAGTATCCCGTGAGTACACCAATTCATCAAAGATATACATAAATCACCCAATTATTGCTAACAGGATTGATAGTTTTGTTGTAGTTTGACATTACTAGCCTTAAAACTCAAATTCATGACACTACAAGGCATTTGTTAATGCTGATATTTCTACCAATATCTATTTTCATAATCAGTTAATTAAAAAAAGGTATTGAGGTTTATAATCGTCCCCATCTGACAATGTAATTGTCGATGCTAAGAGTTGACTCGCTGTTGAAGGCTGATGTCCATTTGAAACCATTGCCTGTAATAACATTGGTGTCAGTTATTCATTAAATCATTTTTGATGCATGTTAATAAACGACACAAAACGGTCCTTGCACTTCAAATGAGTTTCTCTCTTTTCTAGTCTGGTCAAAGCTGAAGTCACAGAAAGCATTAGAGCGCTGGCAGCCAGACACCGAGGTGAGTTATTCTCAAACGCATTCAGTAGTCTGACATTACGCTGAGTGAAGCCACATTCAGCTGTACAGCGCTGCTCTGGCTGAAGCGGCAGGTTTAGCCAGTGTTAATCAGCTGTTCAAACTCCGCTTCGGCTGCTTGATTTGTTCCTTGTTGGAGAGTGAAAGATTAGTGACGTTTTCAAGTGGGAATAAATCTTGAGACTGGATGTTTATGAATTCAGAAAGGAAATATATATATATACTTTTTTTTTTTTGTCTTGCAGGAGGAATATGAAGACTCCAGTGGAAACGTGGTCAACAAGAAGACTTATGAGGATCTGAAACGCCAGGGGCTTCTGTAGCACCACAAACAAGATCTCTGAACACACAAAATACTCGCAGTGTAAATACTGAGGCAGAAATGTGATAAGTTTAGTCCTCTTGTCTTTTCCAGTTTGTGAGAAATATGATTGGTCTTTTTGAAAGCGATCAGTTTGTACATTTTTATTACTATTTGATTATTCCCAATTTTTCTCATTTGGTGTCTTAAATATGAGACTTTCATTAATCAATAAATTGTAGTACATTGTGTGAAAAATGATTACTTGTGCAGCATGTTGTTTTTAACCAGTCTGGAGACTTTTAGGCCTGCTGCACAATAAAATCAAACCGTGAGATGGTTTTACTTCAGTGGGCATCTGTCATTTCACAAAAAAATATTCTGACCCCTTCGTTTTTCCCAACATTTTATGTTGCAGCCTCCACATCAGTCTACACTCCATACATCATAATGACAAAGCAAAATCAGATGTGTGATGACTGCAAATGAAAAAGGAAAGACTATTAAAAAACAAAAAATTTTTTAGCTAAACAAAAAAAATGCAGATTTACACTGTGTATCAAAGTGAATTCCACCCTGATAAAGGTCCTCTGTGTGAGGAGAGCACAGCTGTATCAATAGATCTCTTCAGGATAACAGCATCTTGCCAGATCTTTCCCCAAAAGATTATGAAAGTACAAACCCATTCTGCCTTTTGCCAAGATTTTTTTGATGCATCGAAAACTGTTTTTTGTGATTCCTGAAGGATTCAAATAGTCAGTTTGGTTATAGAATGAGATTTTAACCATTGTTTCCATTAGACAAACGGTGTAGTTTACCAATTTTACAATCAACATTAGATTAATCTGATGAAAAAGTATTTGCTCAGTTATATTGTATATGTGACCCTGGACCACAAAACCAGTCATAAGGGTAAATTTTTCGAAATTTATTTATTTTTATACACGTGAAAGCTGAATAAATCAGCTTTCCATTGATGTATGGTTTGTTAGGATAGGACAATATTTGGCTGAGATACAACTATTTGAAAATCTGGAATCTGAGGGTGCAAAAAAATCAAAATATTGAGAAAATCATCTTTAAAATTGCCCAAATGAAGTTCTTAGCAATGCATATTACTAATCAAACATTAAGTTTTGATATATTTACGGTAGGAAATGTACAAAATATCTTCATGGAACATGATCTTTACTTAATATCCTAATGATTTTTGGCATAAAAGAAAAATCGATAATTTTGACCCATACAATGTTTTTTTTGGCTATTGCTACAAATATACCCCAGCGACTTAAGACTGCTTTTGTGCTCCAGGGTCACATATGTGTCAATGACAGAAGTTCAGCTGTAGTTTTGTTTTAAAGATTAAAAAACAGAAGACCAACAATATCTTACTGTTTCTCATTTGTAAGCCACTTTGGATAAAAGTGCATGGTAAATCCACATGAAATATTAATATTCTGATGTATTACATAGCTCAGAGTTGGCATACAGCAGTACAACGTGTAAAATCTCTACATTTTACTTCTAATAGTTTTGCTGATGATTGACGACCATAAACATTGAACCCAGGATAGAGCGGCTGAGTGAATGTGGTCTGGACTGTGTGGATGAGGCTTGTTGTGTCAGAGACGCTGTAGAAGCACAGAGTTCCTGCACTGTGATCCACATACACTCCTATTCTACTGCAGCTGGAGGGAACAGGGAGTTTAGTCTGCTTGTTATTGTGCCAGAATGAGAAACTGGAGGGAGAGCAGGACAAACTCCAGGACTGATCATTAAATCCAAAGAAACACTCATAACCCGATCCCTTCCTGCTGATGCTCTTATATGACACTGATATACCAACACCATAGACAGATCCACTCCACTCCAGCTCCCAGTAGCAGCGTCCACACACACTCTGTACACAGCACCTGAGGATAATAATCAAATCTGTCCGGATGATCAGGATACGGCTGGACTGTGCCAGTGCAAGTCACCACTCTGTTCCCTTCAGACAGACTGAGGCATTTATGTGCAGTGTTTGGATCCAGAGTGAGCTGATGGGAATCTGATGGAGAGAAAGGGAAAACAAAACAAAACGCTGGAATCAGGAGTTGTAAAAGTTATTTTTGGATTTAAAAAGATTGGTATGATCTATTCACTTGATCTGTCAAAATCTATGGAGAGAATTTTGTGCCAATATTCATCAAACAAATCCAGCGTTTTGTGAATAAACACAATCTGCTTTGCAAAGAAAAACTCGACTTTCAAACAAACGTAAAGTGATTTGCAAATACAAAACTCTACTTGAGCAAAAATGCAGAAGTATGGACAAATATATGTATTGTGTTACAACTGAGACTCATTTGCTTTTTTATGAGGAAACTTGGTTGATTTTCTCACAAATGCGTGCAGGCAGATTTGCTCACAAATGCGATTGAGCAACTTTCTTTTCTAAAAACAGCAGACGGCGCTGTCGGTCAATTTACGCTAGTCTCCCAAGACCCGAAAACACCTGTTTATCTTTTCAGACCAACATGAGTGGGGAACAGGTGAGCTTCTGTCTTACTATATCTATAATTAACCATATAGACGTTTTCACAAAGCGACCCTACTACAGTGCCAGTGAAATTCACAGCAAGTGCTGTAAAGTTGTTAACATGATTGATTAGTTCAAAAATCAGAATTTAACTACACTAGGCAGTCTTTCCCTATAAAAACTGATCCATTCTCCGTACCTCTTATCCTCTGTTGGATCGCGGGATATAGAATATATACATATGTTGATACAATTGTTCAACATCTAAAACAATGCAGGGGTATAACAATATATCGTGTCACAATATATTGTAAAACTAAAATCCAAATGTATTATGGATAGCGACAACTGTGTACCAAAAATGAAAGCGTTTTGAATTTTATTTTTACGTTAGGTCAAGTAAGATTTATTGTCATTCTGCTATATATGTTGAGACATAGCCTACAGTGGAGAGAAATGTTGTAGGCTACCTCTGCAGTAAAAGTTTAAACAAGTATAAAACTACACATAGACAACCTACTGAAAGGAGTAGGCTAATCTAATTATACAAATAGGCAGTTATATACAAGTTCAGGTGAGCTTTATTGTGATTCAGCTATATAAATGTACCAAAATATGATCTAAACATCCCTTACGAAAATTAACCATGGTTTTACTAAATAAATACCATGGTATTTGTAGTAAAGCTGCCGTTATAGAAATGGTCACCTGCAAAAAACATGGTTACCACACTTTTACTATAGTAAAACCAACTTTAATTTTCGTAAGGGATATCATAGTTTATTATCATATTTATGATGAAGCTTGACGTTTTGATGCCATTTCTCAGGGACATCTACATGTTTACCTGGCTGACCTCAGATCATTAACGTGTACAGAGCGCTCAGTGTGAGGCGGGATCACATTAGCGATAATGAGGTGAGACAGGAGAAACTGTACCTCTCCTTACTTTCATACGGATTGTATAATCAGAGAATATTTGTTTTCAAATTTGAATTTGTTTATTTAAAAGTAGACATTTCAAGCTTTCTATACATATATGTATCATGTATGTGAGGCACATATTCACTGAGTTCCAGGTTGTTTTATTCATGTGCCTGTGAAGAAAGTTCCCGGAGACCGAGACGGCAGAGAGCGCACCCTGTTTGTTTTCTTTATTTTACAAAAGCACATTGTTTTGCTGTTATTATGACTATACACAAATAAAAGTAGACCCTTTGCAGTTTCAAACGATGACATACTCTTATCTGTATTTTTAATTATTTTCGTGGTCATCAAGAAAACGTGACAAAACACGCTGGCGCAGTCTTCGACCCCAAAGATTATTTTCTAATCATTACATTGTTAAAATCATTCTGAAATACTGGTAAACCACTGTTTCTTAAAATGCTGAATTTAGTATTATATCCGTGTGAACTTGATCCTTCTCCCCAATTCACAGGACAAGAGTGACACCAGAAGATAAATATTAATCATTTTGCTATGCTAAAAAATACATAATTATTTTAGACACAAATGATTGCAAAAAAGAAAAAGTTTTAGATATTGTACTAAATAATGTGATTTGTTTTCAATTTTTTATTAATAATTAATGACCTCTTGGATGATATCACTATATCTGATACTAAATTAAATTATCTAAGCTTTCATTTTTGGTACACAATATTGTCGCTATCCATAAGACATTTGCCACACAATAATGTTCTTTTTAGCAGCATCATATGACCCCTTTAAAGTATGAGTGAACTATTGGGCATCACATTAATATCATTATGTATTTGTATTTTGGTTTGTAGTGGTTTTAAGAAAGTAACTTGAAATTAAATGAGTATTAATTATTAAATTAGTTTTAAATATTATTAATAAAGTAACCTTAGAGAAATAATTAGTAATTCAAAGTAAACTGCAGTAATTTGTAATCACTTTGCCTTGACTTTATATGATTATTAATGAACTGTGAACAATGATAATGTTTTCTATCACTTTTAATTAAACTTTCTAGATGAAGTATCTTACTGTGTGTCATTGTGTTTGTTAGTGACTTACATTGTAGGAGATCCTCTCTGGTCCTGGGAACAATGTTACTGTGAGGGACTGTGAAAATAACATAATAATACCTGCATTCATTCCTTAGACATTTCTCACATGCGCTAAGATTTTCTATATGATATTAGATTATTTTTGTTTCATTACAGAGAGCAGTTGAATCTGTAATATTTTACCAGATAGATTTTTCATCTCCTCTTTGCAGAAATCCTCCAGTTTGTGTCTCAGCTGACAGACAGATTCTCTCACACCATCAAAAGAAAAGAGGAAACTGACAGAGATGTTTTCTGTAGATTCAGGAGGAGCTGAGAAAGACTGAAGACGCTACAGGAATAAAAACAAATCAACCAGAAAAAAAATCTGAGAAGAACATAACCAAACGCAAAGATACTGTACACTACATACACTAATAGACATATTTAATAATAGCTTCCACAGTCACTTTTGAAGTTCAAGCAAATATGACCTGGATAATAAATAATAGTTTAAAAAAAACTGTTGTCCATCAACCAATTTTTCACTAATGAAATATTTAGCTACCCACAAAATGAAATAAATAATGAAATGTGAATAAAGATTTATGCTCTCATGAGGCATCACAGAGGAGACGTTTTTAAACATAATTAGGTTGGCTTTCTCTGATCTGTTATTTAAGCTTCTTATTATTCTTATGAGACTAAAATTTCTGAACGCTGCTCCTTCTAGAGCTTTTAAGCTAGAACCACCAAACTCAGCCCAGCTCTTCAGACTGATCTGACTCGGGTTGCTATATCTTTTCAGACTGATCCGACTTTTGTACAAGATTAAAAATCATAAAAATCCCATAGACTTACATTGACGGAATGTTCAAATGAGCCAAGACTATTCAAACTCCAACTGTCAAAATTCAAAGCTAAACACACTGAAGCCCATTAGACTCACTCAGGCTTGCCTTCTATGTA